CAGCTGTGGACAAGTCTACATAGGGACCACCAAACGCAGCGCCCATACACGCATCAAGGAACATGAAAGGCACTGCAGACTACTTCAACAAAAGATTTTCCCAAGCTCAGGCAGGCCTTCAAATGCTAATGAAGGTGGTCAGTTGAAACATTCACACCTAGCTCCAGCAGGGAAGAGCTCCTTGCCCCACCCCAGCCATTCCACAGATATATAAACCCATTTTTCCTACTTCCAACAGACCTCGCACCTCTGAGGATGCTTGCCATAGATGCAGGCGAAACGTCAGGAGAAATGCTCTAGAACATGGCTCTATAGCCCGAAAAAACCCACAAGAACCTATAAATTTAATTCTTTGAACTCAAAATAATCATCCTCCCATAACCCCTGTTCTTCATAAAAATCTAGTAAGGCTCTACAGCAAAATTACTCAGACACATTTCTGTCAGAGATGCAATTGTGACTGAAAACCACTGAGATGTTGAAAACACTACCCCCATATTTTAATGGAACCAATTTTCCTCAAATTGCCAGCATCTGGAGGGGATATGTTTTGGTATTGTTTTAATTTAGACATTACAAGCTGGGAATCTATTAGAACTGAATGGGGATAATCAGACTGAGTACTCTACTAAGCATGGTAATTTTACTGTATTTTAATTATATTTCTTTGATAACCGCTATGTTCTTTATCCCACCACCAAAGAGGGGGAAAGTTGGGGGGGATTTTGTGGAGATTTCTTACCTGCATCTCCACATACTGCCCACATAATTATGCAGTGGTCAACCTTTTTTGGTCTCTTTCCATAATGCTTCTTGCACTCACTTAGAGTGCTATTCTTACCCACCAACCATTTCACCAATTCCCAAAATGTAGAAGATGGGCATGAGGGGAGCAAAGAATGAAATGCTTCTTAAAAGGGCAATACTGTACAGATTTCTTACTAAGGCAATGTGAGGAATGCAAGTAGGAAAATATTTGAAGGTGATCCCAGAATAGGTATCAATGAGTGTGGTAAATTTATTGCCATCAAAAAGACTTAAGGAATTAGGCTGGGAGTGTGATAAGACTGTGAAAGATGATTGGAGTACATCTGTGTGTGTTCATGCACATGTGTAAGGATGAGTAACAGATAAAGAGGTTATGTAGTGACCGCTCCACCCTCCCTGAGCTCTGGCCCTGCCCTCTACTAGCATTCAGTCAAGAAAGGTTAACCACTCCTATATGGCAACAGCATGTTTATCATCTAAATGTGCATCCTTCTATAGTCAAACAGCATAATCCATACCCAAGACTGACCCTGTATTAAGCAAAGGACTGGTCAAAACAGCCCATGAGCCCCCTTACAATTCTATAAAAATTGTTTTGGAGACCATGAAGTCCACAGGTCCTCCTCCGATAAAGACTACAAACTGTATCATGCCTCTAGTTAGATTTTTGTTTTGTACCATTTCCTATTTTGTACCATTTAATAAATTATTGTAATAATAGGTACCATTTATTAGTTTCAGTAATATCCCATTTTTCTTCCAACAAACTGAAGCTGGCATTCTTCTTCCTATCATTATCCTCAGAATAATTCCATGAGATAGTCTGAGCTATGAGAGAACATCTCCTAGTAAGCACTGTGGCCCATCTTCCCCAGTAGATGGCACCAAAGCATAAAGTTTGTAGCACACAACTGCCATGTTTATATCTTTAACATCTTTCAATAAGGTATACAGATTTTAAGAGTCAATTTGACACTAATATAATATTCTTCAAAAAACAAAAAATACCATTTTATATTAATAAGAAGAATTTACAAGAGTTCTGTGGCATACTTTATATAATCTACAGTGCCCAACTACATACGACTACTCTGAAATAAGATCCACTCTGTTCAATGTGACTTGTTCATACCACAGATTAGTAGTTTATGAGTGCATCTTTAAATCCACTGAGTTTAAAATACTAAAAGACTCTTGGTTTTTTTGCAACCAATTAAGCTACCACCATTTTGAAGAAAATGGATTAGTTGCATGGAATGAATCATACAGAACAACAGCTTTTTATTTATGTCAGAACTGTCAGTATAAGTTTAGCTTTTGAAGGTTATACAGTATCTGCAACAAACAATCCAAATCTACATGTACTTGTATACTTTAACTCGGGCTGTCTTTTTTTATGAACAACTTAAAGCATAACATGTTTCTATAAAACACAGTATAAAAACAGACTGAATGTGACTCTGTCTTATATATTTGTTAAATAGCAAAAAAATGTAAAAACTGATTAATGTTTTGGCATTGAATATATATATAAAAACATTTGTGACCAGTAAAAACAGATCTTAGTTTTTACTGGTCACAAATGCAATGCTTATCTCAAAATAATATCATGCATTATACATTCTCACAAAAACCTTTCAGGTATGGAAAGAACTTGGAAAGTTACTAAAAGTATCTCCTACTTTGGAAGTTTTTTTTAAATAGAGACTGGATGGCCACCTGTCAAGAGTGCTTTGATTAGATATTTCTACATGGCAGAGGATTGGACTGGATGACCTCTGTGGTCTCTTCCAACTCTATGATTCTATGATATACCCATGTGCAAGCTGACCCAATGTATAAGTAGAGGGAAGATGTGGGGACAAAAATATTAAATGTTGCTATGACCCATGGATATGTCAAGGCTAAAACTTAGGAGCATGAAACAAATTAATCTGTTCCTCTACATTTAAAAATGCATAGGGGGTGAGCAGCAAATGATCTGTTTATTTCAGTTCAGGGTGTAAAGTACTTTGCTTATCTTAAAATGTCCAAATCTATGCAAATACAGAAAAGGAAAGGAATATAAATTAGGGAAGAGAATGAGAATGGAGCCTGGAACAAAAAGGGAAGGGGGAAAAAGCAGGAAAGCAACCTGCTTCTATTAGGGACCCAGCACAAATACAGTGAGATAAGGCAGAGGCAAGAAGCTCCCATCTCATTAGCCCTCCCTTGTCTAAGCCAGAGAAAGAAAGACAGCCTTCACTACTTCAACAGTCTTTTTCTTTTTCTTTGTACCAAAGATATGTGTTGGTAGCAATATGGGGGAGCCTGAAGAATGTGGTGCACACTAAGTAAATCTCTCTGCAGAAAGACTGTGGTGCCATTTTGAATAGGGGCTTATTATAGAAGCATGCCTGCTTATACATGATTTATATACATGAGTATATACAGGTAGTTGGAAAAGTATGTTGATATTAAATGTTATAAATTGGTAAATTAATTTATTACCACCAACACTAATAATTGGTTGGTTTAATTAGTTGTGTCGACATTAATAAACACTGTGTCCCTGTCTTAGGATTTTCTGTGTTCTCTGTGGAAAGCCCACTAAAATTTCAAGAACCTAAGCACTAACTGAACATGACATGACAAAATATGAACCTTTAAGGCTGAACCAAGTCCATCCTACACACTACAAAATATAGTACACTATACTATACAGTCAATTCAGTTAAACCTATATTTCAAGGCAAATCCAAGAGCATTCAGTAAGGCACATGCTATCCAACCAAATGCATCCTGAATGTACTGATAAGTAACAGTGTAAGCAATTTCTACAATATGTGATGAATACTTGATAAAATTAACCTACTGGATCCTATGGGAATATGCATCTTGTTCTAAAATATTGTATAAAAGGGTTACTCAAATCAGCATGCCTTGTTCACTGTACACCAGGACTTATGGACCTCACAATGATAGATTTCCAATCAACACATTTGGAGTGGAGGGCTTTGGGAATTAGCATTCTAACAGAAAATTTAGTACCAGTGACAGACAAAACATGGAAAGAATAGAAATCACTTCCTAAAAATTAAAGAACAATTCAACTTGCTGCAGCAAACTTTTTATTCAAACCTTACAACATCCATATCAACAACCAAATTAGATGAAGATTATGACAATAATAATAATAATGATAATGATGCCTTCCACAATTAAACAAAACATTTTGAACCTTCTAAAGATTGCATGAAAGCTGCTTACAAAATAAATCCATGAATTACTTTTCATTTCACCGTTGTTCTCTTTTACTATGTTTTTTGTTTTGCTGGCTGAATTTAGAGATCTAGACTTTTTTTAGCATGTAGGTGTTTTTACTCTCCCTTTTTATTTCAGTTGTTCTTTTCATAGATTCTCAGCAAGGCTTTCTGTAGGAAGTTGCTGTTTACCTTGCCTGTTGTAGACAGGCAAGCAGAAACAGTAAGATTGGTTATAACAGAACCCTCTTCTTTCCAAGTCAACTTTATTTCACTATTTACTGCAAACACATGGCATTTTCCAGTCTTTTTAACGATCCTACCAATGCTTTAAAACTTCCAGCAAGACTGACATTAAGGAGGAATAGAGTAAGAAAATGTAAAAAAAAAGAAAAAGAGACGATGTTTTTGTAAAAAGAAGTATGTTTGTATTGTTCCCGCCCCTCCACTATACAAGTTGGGAATCAGAGAAACTAATTTCTCATAATATCTAGCTATCACAAACTATCATTCTTGTATGGAAATAAGGTCTCCATAATACAAATGAAGTCCTCACCAGTAATAAAACAATAAAAGTAAGATCTTATTCTGAGCATAAAAGTCAAGAGGATAATTGCTTGGTTCCAATCAGAAGTCTCGAAAGGCCTAATGCAGACTTAAAACTAGACATCATTTTAAGCAACAAGCAAATCGTAAAATCAATATGGTTTTTATTAAATATTATTCATGACTCTTAACAACATTGGCCATCTATACAAGTAAGAATTGTTCTTCTATGCTCAATTCAACACATAATTTTAAGATTTTTTGTGCCACATGATTTTTCACTCAATTTCCAGTAAAATAAAATGAGTATTAAATAGAAAAGAGACAAGGCATCAGAAAATAGAAACATTCAAGATAAAAACAATCACAGAGACATCTAAAAGCAAGTCATGTTGTCTTTTTTAAAAACTCATTTAAGAAAATTGTGAAGCAAACTAAACTTACCAAGCCTGCTGTAAGTGATGGAGCTGACTGTCCCAATGACTGATTCCTCATGCGGACCAAATTTGATGCTTCTCCTGACGGTTGCCATGTTGGTTGTCCTACACCACTATGCATACTAGTGGATAAAGGAAGCAGCTGTTTCCCTTTATGAAGGAGGAAAACACAAAATATCTTTTACTGGTTGGCTTTATAGTTCAAAATATAATAGCATAACTGTATGGTAATACGAATTAGAAATGTGGTCCGTGAATAAAATATTTAAAAGCAGTTGGCTGGTTCTTTTATAGCACTACTAAATATTGTAACACTTAATCGTCTACAAATCTTCATCAGGAGTGCAAAAGAGGCAGAGACATCCCAAAGTAATCCTGGCTACATGTTGAAACACTAGGGTCTGTGGTTTCAATATCTAGTCAAAGTAACTTTTTACTTCTCAGTTCCCTCTCTGCCCCCCAAGCCTGATGAAAAGTTCTGTAGATAACAAAAGTGTATTTTTAAATATTTTAGTGGTCTACTATGCTGCTTTTATATGAAATTCAAAGAATAATATTCTTGATGAATGCCTTTTAAAATGGATGCAGCTATCTTGGATAACAAAGCTTTTCAAAAAAATCAATTTTGAAGGAAGAAATTCTCACCCATTCCAAGAGAAACCAGCTTGACCCTGGTTTATGTACAAAATACGGTTTATTTATGCACAAAATGTATGTGAACATTTGGTATGAGATGAAAAGAAAGTTACCTGACAAACAGCTCGCCAAACTACCCCTCCGGAGCTTGCAGTCATCTTGACTCAACTGTCGATGGAGTTTACTTTTCCCAGTTGATGAACAGATGTCAGGATTACTGAGCTTTCGGCATCGCAAAGTAATGGGTTCTGCTATAACATCCTGGAACAACAACCAAAAACCAGAAAAATCAACTTTGATAACTATAAATATTATATAATTTTTTTAAATGTATCATCTACTTGCATACTACTGTGTGTGTTTTTAAACATGTTTATGCAAAATAAAAACTGTTGACTGCAAGTCAGGATTCTCACTTATTACAGATATTACTGAATGTTTTCATCTTAAGTGTTTTGTAAATAATGCTCACTCATCTGTAAGCTATGATATAGAAAAATATAAAGTTTATCTGTTCAAGAATTATGTGTTCACATAATATTTCTAATTTACCAAAATATAAGTTTCTAACACAAAACATTCTACTCTGCTTAGTCACTGTATATTAATAAAACTATTCATATTTCAGGTTATTCATATTTCAGGTTATTTTATGCTAATTTCACATCTAAAAATTTATCAGGAGTTAGATTCCATCACATGCACAGTATTTATGCAACATATATGAACAGATTAATTCAGTAAACAAAAACTGTTAGTCACCCCTTCAATGCAAAGAGTCTAAGATTTACAAAACATAATTATGCATTTAATTTAATTATAAGCTAAAATGAGTTAAACAACATTTTAAAATTAGCACTAATTTCATTTAGAACATTTCAGCCAAAGGGATGGAGCACATTTGCAGCACTTTTTAGTGTTTGTTATAAAAAACACTGAACTTATTTCTGGATGAAAGCAACCAATGCATGCCAAAATATACCAAACAACAAACAGCCTGTATAATAACAGCAATACAGATACCTAGAAGTGTAGATACGTGCCACTGTATCTTTTAATTCCATTGTACATGGGCAGGTTCTCTGGTACCACCAGCAGTCTGCCATGACCATTTTTCTAGGGAAATCAATTTTATACAGTAGATTTAGCTGTTATTTTCAAACATAAAACATTTATGTGAAAGTCCAATCCAAGCACACTAAGTGCTTCACCCACACATCCAATGTAACACTTCATTCTGCAAGTTCAATTGAGAAAAGGTTGAGTGCTATGCATTTCAAGTATTTTAGTGAGAAAAAGGAAGCTAAGGGGAAGCACTACAAATGAATTCTGTACTTTGAAATCAATTTGCAGAAACGGTGTAATCCAGAGTGAAAATGAGATCAAGAAAGCGAAGCTGATACATTTTAAAGGAGCCAAGAAAGTTGGATGAGATAGTAAAAATCCAAACTGTCCCTGTCAAATGGAGACAGATGGAGTGTCTTATTTAGATGGTTACCACTAAGTATTTGCATTCTTGAATACTCAAAGTGTTTTATGCACATGGAAAAGTTTAAATGGATATGAGGGGTGTTCATTAAAAATTTCCCCTGAGCCACTTCCTGTGGACTGAGAGCAATGAAACTTAGCACAGTTATTAGTCCTTCTCTACATAGGTGCCACTGAGGGACACACACTTCTCCCATCTTTTTAAGTAACTGTAAACACCTCACTTGTAGAAGTCGCCAGGTTGCTCCAAAGCCATGTTAAAACTTTGGAAATCAGAGTCTCATCGTCTGAAAAATGCTTGCCCTTCAAAAATAACTTCATTGTTGGAAAGAGGTGGAAATCCGATGGTTGAGGTCAGGTGAATAAGGGAGATGCAGTCGAATTTCAAAGCCACAAGAGCATACTTCCATTTGGGCAACATCTGAGTTGTGAACTGGTGCATTGTCTTGCTGAAGGAGGACACATTTGGTGAGCATGCCACGTCCCGTAGTTTTGTTGGCCTCCCAGTTTCCACAGCAGTGAAGCATAGTATGCCCCAGTGATTATGGTACCCTTTCCTAGGAAATCCATCAATATGTGCTGGTCCCAAAATACTGTGAGCATGACCTTGCCTGCCGAGAGTTGGGCATGTGCCTTCTTTGGAGGTGGTGAGTCATAATGTTTCTGTTGCATCTCAGGATCATAGTGATGGACTCAGCTTTCATCCTGTATGATCGGCCTGTTGAAAAAGTCCTTCTGGTTTCCATGGCACATCGCCAATAGAGCCTGAGAGCATTCGACTCGTTCCTGCTTTTGGAAAGGTGTGAGCAGCTGGGGGACCCAGCGAGCAGATAACTTATGCATGTGAAGATGGTCTTGGATATTTTTTTCCACAGACCCCACACTAACCTTGACAATTTGGGCTAGGTGGCGAATGGTTTGGTTAGGCAGAAATTTCCTAAATGGCAACCTCCACTTGCCGAATGGTGTGTTCATTAATGGCAGAGTGGGATCAGCCTGGAATTGGAGCTGTTTGCACCAAAGTCCGACTACATTTGAATCGACGATGCCAGTTCTTGACTACATCATATGATGGGGAATCATCACCATAAACTACGTTCGTCTCATCAAACGTCTCCTTTAGTGTGCAGCCTTTCAAGTAAAGGTACTTGATGACTGCTCTGTATTCCACTGGGTTCATTATCAAACCTCACACACTTCAGCACCTGTAAAATCAAGACTGTTATCAGTTCTGAGTTGTAAATTGGCACATAACCTATAGAGACTTATATCATTGCACATGTGCAGTTTCAGCTTCATGTAATAATAGAAAGTCAGGGGAAATCTTTAATGAATGCCCCTCGTACTGTATCATTAACTGCATAATCTATGTGAACTTGCCTATAGCCAGGTAGTGAACACATGGCAAAGACAGGACAATTAGGTCTTCTGAATTCATATCTTAATCTCTCAAGCACAAAGCAACATCTAGTACAAAAAATATAAACAGAAATTAGATTCAGAGGGGGGAAAAAGTAAGAATGTTAAGGTGACTGGATCAATGATATAAGTCAACACAATCATTTTGGTATTCATTTTAGTTCACACATACACAACAATTACCCCAAGGAAGCACCTGAATAACCAAAATCACATATAATTATAGTTGTGGGAAAACAGTACAGTAGCTCTTAATGGACAGAAAAGAGACAATCTTGCATTGTCAATAGGCTCAGCAACATGTTCAAGATAGAAGATAGTTGTAGCTGTTTCTACCACCACAGTTCACAAGAGCTGAGCAAAGTTCCTCCACTCCACAAGTGTGCAACACAAGGCCATGAATAACAATGCTACACAGATGCCAATGGCATTTGCTGTGCCAGCACTGAAGATGAATCTCAATGTAAGCCAATAGATGTAAAAGGACCATGATAAGAAATCCTACACATAAAGAACTTTGGTAGCACAGGTTCTACAGATAACTGCATAAAGCCATTACCGTATATATATGCTATTTCCAGTCCAGTTTTAGTATACATTTTAAAATCTCCATGAGCAGAAGTATCCACTGTAATATTTAGTGGAGTTGTGAACAAATGTTTTATCAGGTAAAAAAAATAGCAGTACAGACGAGATTCTAAACATAACACAGCTCAACTCACAACCATAAAATCCAATGTTTAAGACATGTTCTTGATCAGGAGAAGCTGTTTAAGAATATTTACAGCTGTTAAGGTAAAGGTAAACGTCTCCGATCAACATTAATTCTAGTCGTGTCTGACTCGGTGGGGGGGGGGGGTGCTCATCTCCATTTCTAAACCGAAGTACTGGCATTGTCCGTAAATGCCTCTAAGGTCATGTGGCCGGTATGACTGCATGGAGCGTGTTACCTTCCCAACAGAGAGGTACCTATTGACCTACTCACATTTGCATGTGTGTGTTTTTTTAATTTGGCACACATGCCAAATCTAGAATGCCCTTTAAAAGAGGGGTTATGGTGGAACATTTTCCGCTTAGTGTGGAAAATGGCAAAATACTTCTTCTTTCTAAGCTATTTTCCGAAGGGAGGGGCTTGCATTGTGACAGTGCTTTCCACAGGGCTTTGTTTTGGGCATCCTCAGGTCTGATTGGCAGCACGCATGTCTTTGTTGATGGTGTCCATCCATCTTTTCTTTGGCGGCCCACATGGCAAAAATGGCAAAACTGGCAAAATACCAATAACTATAATATACTGCCAAAGGTCAAAGTTCACTTTTCATAGAAAACAGTCACATTCTGGTGAAAGTAGTTGTCCCCAGGGAGAAACAAATACTTTATTTTGAGGAAGTGGCAACATCCCAAGAGGAAATAAGGTAATCCATGGGTTTTCATGTAACACTGCTAATTATCTTTCTTTTAAGTAGCTGCTGCAATTATATCAATAGAAAGGATCTACAAAGTTATAAATTTCAATCTATATCTTTTCTTGACAAGAAATGAAGGATTTGTGTAGCAAAACTCTTGCACTGTCTGCCACACATAAAGCAAGAATTTTCACATTTGTTATGTCCCCATCCCAGAATCTCAAAAAATGGAAGTTATCTTTAGAGTCACTTTTCAGTCCAGATCTATTTCGATTTCCAACAAATTTTGTAATCATATGTTGCAATCTCACTGTGCATCTCATCAGTTTAATTTTAAAAATTAACTAGCACCAAAAGCCTTCATTAAAATATTTTACCAAAATCTGTTCTGGTTAAAAATTCCAAAACTTTTTTTTCTTTTTAAAATACAAATTTATGAAACAAAGAAGGTTCATTCTCTGAACACATAATTGCATTTCTGGCCAATTATTACATTCATTAAGTTCAACAGGCATATTAAGGCATAGCTATGTTAGCCATGCAAGAAAAAGGGTACAACACAGTTCAAAATCTGCAAGAGTAATACTTTATTGCACAGAATGTGTCATTTAAAAACACTTTCTTACTGATGAAGCCAGTGCAGCTTCAAAACTCTGTATAATGTATTTGCTGCATTTTGGTTGGTCTTTAAAGGTGCTAATCTTTTGTAGTTTTTATCATATTCTGTTGCATGATCAACATAGCTAATTCTGAATGTTTACAGGATTTGAAGATATCAATTTGTGCCACAATTTTAATATCAAGGAGCAATGGACTAGGACTTTAATACTTTGCATTTTTTATCCTCTGACAAAAGTAAATTGGCAAATTTTATCTATAGAGAATTGAATGGATTTTCCAGAAGAAAAAAAGACATCTTGAGAAATTCAGTGTTGTTTGGCCAAGAAAGGT